TATTTAAAAATAAATAGCAATTAAATTTAAGTTTGGGTTAAGTTGTTAGGCCTAATTGTAACCTTATAATGTAAAAGGGCTCCCTATAGTTTTAAGCATAAGCTGAGGTAGATTTTTATCACTAAGAAAATTTAAACTATAACTGAATGTATTTAAAGAAAGAGCAACTTGTTCAGTAAACCAAAAAAAAAAGTTTAGTTTTTCCCCTGCTGTACCGAAATCATACCGAACCGTGACGTTAAAACCGAGGTACGTACCGAACTGTCATATTTGTGTACCGTTACACCCCTAATTCAAATTGAAAATCATTGAAGGTTACCCTTCACGTAAAATATGCGGTTAACATAGACAGGCGCAGTGGCCTGATCAGCTATACATGCTATGCTAAGCTAAGCTAAGCTAAAGACACTCCTCCATTGCTCCCTTACAGGTCCACCACAATCACTGTTTAACACCTTAATACGTTAATTTATTAACCACAGCTTAACCACAGCTATGTACACATAACACTTAACACGTACTAAACACTTAAAACGATATCCGGCCGGGCTTCAGACGAACACAAAGCCTGTGCCGATCAGTCATATAGACGCTGAAGCTTAAACAACAAGCGACCTATTTTGCTCATATCCTAAAATCTCCACACCTTTCCTGGTCCCTCCGCATAGTGACTGGGGCGAACCGCAGAGGTGGCGAAGCGTCGCACAGCTTGTCCGAGCATCGTTTACTGCTGAAGTGTGAGTATGCTCAACCTGAATCTGACTCTCAACGACCTTCCTGCCTGGCGATAGAGGGCCAACAGCCTTATGGGTAACGTTACAGTCACGCCGCGAGTTATTATGGGAAATGTAGTTTTACAGCAGACGTCTCAAAAGTCACGTACACTGAGACACAACAATCAGAGTGAATTTCGCGAGAATAGCGAAGACTTGACTTGAATAATTAATATCCAAATCATTGTGCTACAAGTTTGGTGATTTTTTTTCTGCTGTAACGTGTAGCTTAGCTTATAGTTAGTCTATCCTACCACAGATAATTTCCCCACCTGAGCAGAAGCAACATGTTTCTTTTGATGCAATTATTGCATTTGTCCTTCACATTATTATAAATGATGTGTACAAAAATGTTGTGACACAAGCCTTCAACAGAGCTTGTAGCCTATTGACTCTTTTCTTTTTTTTTTTTTTTAGATGTGACTAAGCAATCAGTTGTAGGTATTAGCCTATGAAATCCTGTGAAAGTTGTAGGCCTACTAGTAAGATTCTTCATTGCTGTTTGTCTTATTATTTGTAGGCTACAATTCTCATTCAAGTTCATTATTATGAAAATAATGGACAGGATACTCGAAAAATCACCTCTACGGAAGTCCTACCTAGATTTCATCTGTTCCACATATACAGAATGTGAAAAGTAGTAGTAGGAGCAGTAGTCGTATGTCACACTCTTTAATATTTATGAAACAGTAGCCTACATGAGATTTACAGCTTCGCCTAGATTTTTGAATGCACAGTGAATGGACACTGTCCAATCCCATAAGGCTGAGATGAATGGTGAACTGACACAATTGGTCAGTTGACAATGCCAACATGGTGGATGTATCTGAATTACGTTAATAATGAATGCATGCATATATAAGACATACTTTTTTAATGGTCATGAGGTAAGTTCATTATCAAACATATTGCAATTTCAGTCACAGGTATCCACCTTATTTTGCAATGCATAAGTAAGCTATTTTCTGTGAATGTGCGGCATATAAGGGATGTACAACCCTGCTCCTGGAGGGCCGACAAAGTTTAGTTCCAACTTCCAACCCAAATTAAAAACAAATCCAACTAAACAAGGATTTCAGGATGACTAAAAAAGTTCAGGCAAGTATATTTGGGGCCGGTTGAGTTGAACTCTTAAACCGTTCTTTAAACCTAGCTTTTAGTGTAAACAACTGCATGTGAAACATTTATTATAATACTTGAATTTCATTATACACTGAAAAAAATGACCCTACATTTTTTAAGGTAAGTGGTTGCAAACAATTTATTTTAGCTACATTTAATTTAGAAAAATATGTTGATGGTTAGTCAACTAAATTTGTTTATTTAAATGTAGCTAAAATAAATTGATTGCAACCACTTACCTTAAAAAAAAAAAAAGAGTAAATTCAATGAATCATTTTGTTCACTGCTGTCCTAGCAGCAGGCTTTGATAAAACTGCCATTATGGAACCACTTACATTTGTGTGGCGTAAAAAGTTGACAGCAGTAAATAATTTAGGACCAAAGCACTTTGTAGAGTTTGCTGGAGAATATCTTATTCATCTTTAGGTAGCTTGCAGTGTGATTATTTAAGTGAAATCACAGTATTAGATGTCCCTGCGTGAATTCTGGGCAATTTAAGATAATGATCATTAAATATTCTTGGTTATTTTTCATATTTACTCACAGGTCCTCAATGCAATGGAAGAGTGACACAGAGAAACACTCATTCCCTGCTGTGCTCTGTTGCCCTTGGTTTATGCAATAGATACAAAGAATGTGCAGTAACGACAATGAAAATGATTTTGGGCTATATTCAGCTGTTGTTCAATACATTCATTCACTCTAAGATGGGGAAGACTATAAAAAATGTATGCTTTTCATTTCTTTCATGTCAAGGAGAACAGCTCTCCAAGTCTTGCAATTAGATTTTATCATTTTCTTTCTTCTCAGACATTTTTCTCCATTTGACACAAATAGACTAACCAAATAATCTTTTCAAAACATCATATGTAGGATTTAGCTTTGTAGACCTGCACCAAATGGTGTTAAATGAGCCTTTAAGCAATTTTTTTCCTTCATACATTTCATTTTGCTTCAGACTTGGGGAACATGAAAGGAGAATCTAGGTCACTGGTCAAAATGAACAGAATACAGGTGCAAGTCAAGTATTAGAAACGCAGCTCAAACTTTTTACCACTGTGAAAAACATGATTAGCTGACTATTTCACCTTCTCAGCCCCTCAGCCTTATAAGAATTTTCTTGTCACGACAGCTTGTTTGTCCCATATAGCCGAAGCGTGTTTGAATATGTTATCCTGGGTGTTTGAGTATGCATGTTTGGTTTTCATGACACATAGTTGCCTGCCCTCCTCACTGATGCTGCATCCATCAGCAAAAGGCCTTAACCTGGGCAGCAACCACCTGTCTCTGCTTTCACTCAGCAAATGGTTAAAATAATGAAGTATTCAGAGTAATGCATCTGCTCTGAACTGCCATAAACATCAAGGCAATAAATAAATAAATATCAGCAAGCAATGTTATTTATATATGCATTTTTAAAAGACCTTGCTGTCATTAAATTACTATTTATTATTATTATTATTATTATTATTATTATTATTATTATTATTTTTATTTATGTATTTATTTATTTATTTTTAATACAACATGTTTGTAATGAGGTCTAAGTTTCAGACTGATTTCAGTGTATTGCTAGGTGCTGTAGTGGTGTAAGTTTTTTTTTTTTTAATAGAAGGATATGTAGAAAATGATGGTATTCTCTGAAAAAAAGCTATATCACTAAAATAACTGTCCTGAAATCATTTTGTGTGCTCACTGCAGGCAGTCCATTAAGGGAAAGGTGGAAAATGAGAACGAAATTTATTGACAACTGCTAAGTCGAACCTTAAAAGGAATATGAAGCCAAAGGGAAATAAAGTGACCAAAAAGTTATAGCTCCAAAAATCAAGCAAGATGACAGTGAACATCTGTAAAGCTTTTCATCTTCTAATTGACAGGTAAATGTCAAGTCAAGTATAAATCAAGTTTAATTGCCTGGTCAACATTGTACAAAGAGAAGTGTCTGTCTGTCTGAAGTTTTATAAGAGTGATCACTGATTTTTTTTTCAGTGGCCTTGGTTCTGGAAGTGTTTTTCCCATTTATTTTAGCCATATGGATTTTCAAAAGTATTTGTTGTATGCCTTGAACTAAAGCAACCAGCTACGAGGTGAATCATAACATTACAAACTTTGATTTGAAACAAAAAAGTATTTGAAAATCAAACAAAAAGACAAAGATTGTGTACTAATGGATGTAATGTTGGAAAGAACTACAATCCCATGAAGCATTCCAAAGGGCATAATCGCAATAAAAACAATAGATCAATATAAAAGTATTCTTTTAAATATGTTGATTATGTATATAGAAACAACATATGTTATGTTTATTGCAAAAATATGCATATATATACAAATTTTTTATCGTTTAATAGCTTTTTTTAAAGTTTTTAATAGCGTAGGAAGACTGACTTATTTTTTATTTAGTTATGTATTTTTTGCTCCATGGGAGTAGATAGCCGTGGATTGTGTTTTTTGGGACAATTATCATTTTGCGATTCTCTTGATGGATATTCTTTGCAGAATAATTGGTAATGTATTTTTTTTTTTTGAGTAGGAATTCCACTGTTAAACATGATTATTTAAAACATGGGTGCCCAAACTCAGTCCTGGAGGGCCGGTGTCCTGCAGAGTTTAGCTCCAACCCCAATTAGACTCACCTGAACCAGCTAATCAAGCTCTTACTAGGCAGATTAGAAACTTCCCAGCAGGTATGTTGAGGCAAGTTGGAGCTAAACTCTGCAGGACACCGGCCCTCCAGGTCTGAGTTTGGGCACCCCTGATTTAAAACATATGTTGAATTTATTCAGGCTGATGGCTTCAACAAAATTGTATATCAACGAATAACAACCTTGTAGCTCACAGTAGCTCTATCTTAGTCTATCTTATCATTAAAAATCAATTCCCCTATGGAGAAATGAATTGGATTTTTATTTCCGGACTGTTGCACGCTATAACGATGTGTTTGGAACGTATGTAATTTTCAATGTTGTGTTATTTTTCTTTTTATTTGTTAGTACTTTATATTTTACCCATCTGAGGCACCTTGTGTTGATGGATTCTGTGTTGCTTAAGTAAAGACATTTTCTTGAATAAATAATTCAGAGCTCATTGACTATGTAAATTTGCTCATGTGAAAAGAGGCAAGAGACAAACAGTATGATACAATCTGGTACAAATAACCTTAATGTGCATTTGCCTGTCTTTAATAAATGCACCCAACACTGTAAACTACTGGGGCGACCTCACCTGTCAGAGCAGACGGTATTCTCTATTCAAAATGAGCAGTAACTTTAGGCAAAAGATGTTAATCAATTTATCAATTTGCTTTGGCAGCTGTGCCACTAGCTAACATGTCATGCATCGTTGCAGCTGACATTTCTGTGCTGAAAAGATTATGTTTATAGTGGGAAGAATGCAGTGGGCTGAGATTGGTTTTAACATCCTCTGTTTTTCTCCAGAGGCAGACAGATTGCATACTTTATCAGGTGACTTTTCCTCTTGGTGGGAGCTTAGAGTGACATCTTTATCTGTTGTTTCCCAAGGTTAGAGACGAGTGATGAAAGGTTTCTTTTCTACACCAGGGCCTGGGCTTAGAGAGCTATGAGTCCAGATACAAATTTCTCAGACTGAGTTTCAATTCTAAAAAACATAAATTTGAACAGGCTGGAGAAATTACAGCAAACCCCCCTTACCTTCCTGTAATTTAGGCCTATTTTAATGGAAACAATGTACAAATATGATCATACTTTTGAGCACACTGTTTCTCAGTGCACATGCAATCAGCACATATATATTTTGACATATTAGCAGGTTACAGTATTCAAAATGCCTGCATTAACAGCACAGTGATGTGTAGTAACGGTGAAGGTACAATTAAAGTTTTATGCTGAGTCTATTTTTTGCTGTAAACTTCAGCAGAAAATAAAGATATTAAGATAATATGTGTTTTTAAATGGCCAGTGACCATATCTAAAAAGCTGGGTGGCCGTATATGATATACACACATACAATTTTACTCAAAAACAGAAATTGTTTACTATCCGCTGACAAAGCTAGCAGTACAATTTATAACTTTTAAAGTGGAGAGAGATAAACACTCCTGTTATCACTCAAGCACACATAGTTATCTGCCAATACTGAGAATCTCAAAATGGCCACACACACACACACACACACACTCACTTTGTTTTCAGTAAATCTGACTGAATCAAGGAGATTTAAACAGTGTCACTCTAGGGATGAAGCTTTTGCTTCTCGTGTAAAATAGATTTAAACCATTTTATAATTTATGCTTTTTATTAAAGAAAATATTCAATTGTAACACTCCTTTTAAAGCAGCTCTGTTGCACATTCATCTCATTATTTTTTCTCTACCCCCTTCATGCACCACACAAAAACACAAAGTGAATGTGAATGTATTAGTGACGCAGGTGTAAACAGAGGGCAACAAGATCACATGTGGATAAATATTAATCTTGTGTTTACTGCTGACCAGATCCCAGCAGAAAATAGACCTTGGCTCTGACTGAATGAACTGGAAAAGCAAGGACTTCTTAGATTTCTCTTCGCCCACAACCGAGCAGAGACTGCAGGATAAAAGAAAGCGTTACATTCCTGTGAGATCAGGATCGATTTATAGAACTGCTCTGTTTACAGTGTTTTTCCAAGAGCATTTATGATCACTGGATATAGATACCAGAATTTGTTTACAATGTGCAATGAATAACACGCAGAGTGTATGAACTGACCTGTGATCTTCATTAGCAACTACATGAGCATCACTGTAATTCTCTAATACACCTTTACTGAAAGATAAAATGTCTCATGACGGAAATAGCTTAATGCTAAACCAGTTTTTAAGGTATGTATTGGCAGGAACTGATGCCTTAAATATGCAAGCAGCTTGTGAATCATAGCCAATCCTTCCCCTGTTAACCCTCAGGACAAGACAGACTACAGTTTCCATCTAATCTTCTGGCTGTTGATCTGAAGGCCTGTAGGGAGCAGTGTTGCGCAGACTCTGCCTCTATGCCAGAGATCAAGCTTCCCAAATCAGAATGTGCCTAAAAACCACCTATAGCCCTATTCTGCCTACAGGAATAACTCCCATTATCTATGTCTCCTGAGGCACTCTAAAAATTAAAGTTCTGAAACATTCCGCCCAATCAAGCAAGCATGGATAGTCATCAATATTTTTGGACCATTTTTCCCAGAAGAGAAGAGTTGTACATTTTAAATGACATTTTAAAGGGATTTTGGGGGTATGTTAGCATTAGTGTGGTATAAAAACTGACATTCTGTATATAAAGTAAGAGCCAAAAAATCTCAGTTGAGTTTATTTCGCATCTCTTGGGTGTCTCACCCACCTGCATGGAAATTCCTCTCAAGAGAAGAGACTTTCAGCATTTAAATGTAGAAGCAGATAAGGTCTGTTATTTCGAAGACAGTTTGCCCCTCCAGACCTACTGGAAGCAGCAGAAGAGTCAGTCAAGCTAGACGTTTAAGACAAGGTCTACAGGCCATTAATTAAACCCTGAACTGAAAAACTAGCCTGGTCTCACTTGATAGGCAAGGATGTCAATGCACTTTCGCAAAAATCATTTTGGTGACAGATAATTTACATTTTTCAATTTAATGTTTCTTTCTTCAAAATTAATTCATAAATTAACATGTATATTAATCTACTACATTAAAACAAACATTGAGACTGGACAGTTACCCAACTAAAATATTATATTTTTTATTATAAAGAACAAAGAATAAATGATGAGATTTTGATGGTGTGTTGATATTTTAGTTTTATAAAGCCAAAGATTAACCTGACAGAGCTTCAGACACTCAGAGTGAATGATATGTGCAATCTACATGCATTGCCCAACATTGATTTTAGCCAAGAAGAACCATCCATGGTTGTATACACTGCAAGTTCAGACCATGAAAAGTGGCCATAGCGGAGAGCCAATTTCCACTTGTTATGTGATATGGTTTTGCAGAGGAGCGAAGCTGCTTTGAATGTGTGGGCTGTGTATGTCAGTCAATACTCTAGATTTCTCAGCCATGTTACTGTAAATAGATACAGATAGGTGTGTGTGTGTGTGTGTGTACTGTATATATATTCACATGTTCACGTACATACACACACACACTGCCAGTCAAAATGTTGTATAATTCCTCACCAAGACTGCATTTATTTAATCAAAAATATGAAAAAGTAATATTGTGAAATTAAAAATGCTGATTTGCTGCTTAAGACACATTTATTATTATTATCAATGTTGAATTTTTTTCCCCGTTTATAATTTTTGTGCAAACCATGAACCATGAGCAAACCATTTCTTAGAAAAGAAGGTACAAAAGCTGTCATTGGGGCAGCACCATTGCAAAAAGTATAACTTTGTCCCTTATTTATCCCTAAAGGGTGCATATTAGCACTTTAAATGTACATATTAATACCTAAATGGTGCATATTAGACGTTGAGAAAGGGTAATGTCCCAGTGACAGCTTTTGTACCTTTTTTGTAAGTAGCATTCAAATGTTTGGTTTGAGTAAGATTTTTTTTTATTATTATTAATTTTATTCAGCAAAGATGAATTAAATTGATCAGTCAAGACATTTTATGACAGTAAAGACGAAATGACAGTAAAGGCATTTTACAAAAGATTTCTATTTTAAATAAATGCTGTTCTTTTGAACTTTCTATTCTTCAAAGAAGAATAAAAGTATCAAGGTTTCCACAAAAGAGTATGGCTGCTGAAAATTCAGCTTTGCCATCAGTGGAATAAATGCCATTTTAAAACTATTTTAAATTGTACAAATATTTCACAATATTACTGTTTTTACTGTATTTTTAATGAAATAAATGCACCCTTTGTGAGTGTCAGAGACTTCTTTTAAAACATTATTTCATTATCTATATTTTCTCTTTATTTTTGTTACTACTATAGTTACTTACTATAAATGTAAAACTGTATAATGTTCTTATGGAGTCACAGCATGGAACTCCATGGAACATGATGCAGCATTGTGGCCAATCAATACTGGAAGAGAATTCCATTCACGAGCTGAATTCAGCATTACCCAAAGACCTCCTTAGAGATGCATAGGTGAATGTGTACTGAGAATTGAATTTTTGCTCACCTCCCCAAAATAATAAATTAAAATAGACCTGCATGACCTCGATGACAGCACTGGCTCCCTACTAAACATTAAAGTGACTAGCCAATTCTCTGCCCTCTTCCCTAATAGACTGCTTAAACACAGTTACATCTTCAGCCGCAGCCACCGGCCTGCACATACAGCTGCTCTCTTAAGTAAATAGGGCAAAGGCATATGCGTGCACATATGCTCACACTCTGAACTCGCAGGACCCCGAGGAAGTTACTTTGGAGCTGCAGGAACTTAAGATGCCCGTCACATTCTCTTTAGAGATAGATATGGCAGGACCTTAATGCAGTTAAATTAATATTTAAAACACTGGCTGAAATAGAAACAAAATTAATGCCTGGAATTAATCATAAGGACACTGGATCCTTTTAAGAGGACTTCAAATATGATAATGTATGGAAAAAGTACGCTAAAGACTCTTGGCTAGTTATAAATTGTTTAATTTTTAAAAAAAGTAAAAATTGCTTGAATCATGGATTCAAAGTACATGCATTTAGATATGAAAGTTTGTGCAGTGTTTATGACTTCAAGTCATAGTCCAAGTTTTAATTTGTTGGCAGTGCAATAAGTATACAGACTTGCACGCCTCCTTGATGGGGGAGAAAAAAATTCTTGAATTTTAATTTGTGACCAAGGCAAGTACTGGACTTAGATCTTGGATGAAAGTACCACATTTCTTTGAACCCACAGAGAGATTTACAACTAGAGAGATCCTTCTGAAAGCTCAATCTATTTGAAAGGATACAAATTAAAATGGGGACTTGATTAGAGGATCAACCGGCTTAATGCTGTGTAAATCCAGACTTCCTTGCCATTTGACAACTAAGATACTTGGATACTTCACCAAGGAAGAAACATACAAGCAGACAACTGCATGTCACCTCAAGAGACCTCAGTGTTGACTAAACTCCTATGCTCTTGTCCTTTAAGCATCTGGCCACATAGCGTGACGGAACTTGCCATCTTCAGCAGAGAGGACATCCAGTGTAGTCCTTCGCATTGGCTGTCACTTCTTTTCTGTGTCTTGCGTTCCCAGGCCCACAGGGTAGCTGAGCACTTCTTAGACCTGTCTGTGGCTGTCACTAAACTTAGAACCACCTGAGCATTATGGTCAGGAATATTTCATGAGTCCCCCTCTAACTTCACATCAATGATGCAGCATTGTGGCCATGACTTAATCTCAACAGTTTGAGACTTCTCTAAATCTGTGGTAAGCAAAAGACGGCAGTGTTAGCTTTCTTAAAGAGGACGTTTACATAAAATGAATATTCTGTCATTATTTACTCAACCTCATGTCATTCCAAACCTGTATGACTTTCTTTTTTATATGAAGAGAAACACAAGATGAAGATATTTGTAAGAATGTTGGGAACCAAACTGTTTGTATGGATAAAATAGAGACTTTTTTTTTTCAAAATATCTTCTATTATGTTCCACCAAAGAAACTAAATCATACAGGTTTGGAATGACATGAGGGTGAGTAAATTATGACTCACTTTATGACTGATTTGTTTTTGGGTGAACTAAGTTAAAAGCATGAAAAGGTATATTACAAATGACACTGAGTGGACAAAGAAAGTATATATTAAGCAACAGTGCAATATTCAGTGAGTTTTAATTTATTTTGAAAAGTTTGACCCAGTTTAACATTAATCTATTAGATTGCAAAAGTGATGAAAATTCGCATGACTCCAGCTTTGCATCTCTGATTTTCACACATAAATTTGCCTCACTAATGATGTCTTTCAGAGTGCAAAGCAAACAGAAATGTTTAAAAAACTGTCAAACTCTATAAAGAAACCTTAAATGCACTGTATTTTTATCCATATATTTACCTCACCTTAAATCTTGACACATCAGTACTATATGTGAACTAATTTAAATTCACTAAGAACATCGTGGAGTAAAGTTTTGAGAAGCCACATTCTGCCATGCATCAAAGAAATTGGCATTAGATTTTTTTTTCTGTTTCATGCATAAATACACATTTTCTCTGTTTACAGTGTGCACTTTCTGCTTTCTTGCAACCCATCAACCTTAAATTCACCCTTCTGTGAAACTATCTGCAACTTCATGAAGATATCAAAGCCGCGCATGACACCTGAGTTCAGCAGGCAGGGTCATAAAGTGTTCATGGCTGTGGAAAACCACCAGCATGTAAGATTCACAAAGTTCTGTTCTATATGATACTGCTGTGCTGTTCAGGTTACTGTATATTCCTCTATGCTGAGTGAAACACATTGCCCTCCCATAAACCCCAACAAAAGTTAAATGGAATTTCTTGGAGCTATGAATTTATGAATATAAGCAAAGTCTGGAGATTATGGGTCATTGTTTTTTTTTGTTTTTTTTGCAGTTAAAATCCACTGCAACAGCCTGTGAAAATCCAACCATGCATCAATAGAATAACAATGATGCAGTACAGAAAAAAGGATTGATTAAAGTTGATTTCTGGTCCTGGTCCTGGCCCTGGCTGAGGGGTCTTTCATCAGGTTCAACCTTTGGGAAGGAGTGAACGATGGTGCGGCAAGGTAGGGCAGAAGCCTGGCCCTATGGGAGAACTCGAATTAGATAGGGCCACTGCCAGCTGATGCAGTATTAAATGCAGCAGAGCTAAAGCTGAATCAGCCACTTTGAGAAGTTTGCATCAAAACTTCTGTTTTTCCCTGTCAATCACATTACATCTTGCAGTCAAAGAGAGAAGAGTCTTTTAGTCGCTAGTTTAAAAGGACAGTTCTCCCTAAAATGTAAATTCTGCTATCATTTTCTCACTCTGATGTTGTTCCAAACCTGTATGACTTTCTTCAAAAGAAGAAATTCTGAAAAATGGCTCAGTGTTATTTTAGTCCAGCACATTTTTCATTGTCAGTCAAGTAGTTGCTTCAGTTCTTCAAAAGATCTTCTTTTGTGTTCGGTACAAAAGTCAAACAGGTTTGGATCAAAATGAGGATGAAGAAACGATGACAGAATTAGCATTTTTTGGGGTGTGCACTTTAAACAGGACATTCCGTAAAAGTAATTTTATGAAAGTAAGCAAAAGCTTTGAATAATTTATCAAAGCAACATTAGGTTTGCTTCGTAATCTGTTCACTTTATAAAACTACAATGCAGATAGAGCTACATCTTCTGAACTGCTTTGATCCTCTGCTTCCATGATAATGTAACACTAATACTGGACTACTCCCATGTCAGGTGTGAATCACAATACTCGCTTCTGTGGTGTTTTATTGTTCAGACTTTAAGATCACTGTCCCTTGAGCTGCATGGGAAACAAACTATACAAATCAAACCAGCTTGGACCGCAACTGTCCTTCAGTAAATTGCCTTGTTTTCTGTGGGTGATGAAGTGCCTTGAATGAAAGAGATCGTCCAACATTGTCCTTGATCTGAACTTCCTACCGTTCGTGATCTTGATGTGAACTTCCTGCCGTACGTG